ATAGCTGGCCGCCGCCGCAACCACCGAGCCAGGGCCGCCTCCGGCTCCGCCTCCGGTTCCGGTGGAGCTGTCCTGCCGCTGCTGCCGCTCAAAGCCGCCTCCTGGCGGCGCGCCGCCACCCGCCTGCGGGGGGGCGCCGTAGCCGGGCGCGGCGTCGTAGCCCTGGGCTGCTCCGCCGGCGCCGCCGCCTCCATACGCGCTGCCGGCGCGTCCGCCTTGGCTGCTGCCGGCGCCTCCGCCGCCGTACCCACCGGCCGATCCTCCCCCAAAGCCGGGAGCCGCGCCCGCCCCAAAGCCCGGGGGCGCTCCTCCGTAGTCGGGGGGCGCCCCGTAGCCCGGAGGTGCACCCCCAAACGGAGGCGCGCCCCCGAACAGAGGAGGCCCGCCGAGCCCCTGCCCGCCCTGCCCCTGCCCGGCCTGCCCCTGCCCGCCCGGCCCCTGCCGCGGGTACGCGGCTCCCTGCTGCGGATACCCTCCGGCAGGGTAGGGCGGCGCGCCGCCGTAGCCGTACGGCTGCTCGCCCTGCGGGGACCGCGGACGCCCTGCGGCCTCGGCGTCGCGGCGCCCAATCCCGACGATGTCCGCGCCGCTCTCGGTGGCTGGCCGCTGGCGGCCACGCTGGTACGCCGCGAGCCGCTCCTTCTCGCGGAGGGCTCGGAGCCGGTCCATCTCCTGCTTTGGAAGCTCGAGCCGCCCCTGCTCGCGGAGCCGGTCAACCTGCCGCTGCTGGCCACTGCCGTCCGGCGGACCTCCCTGAGAGCCATCCTCCCGGCCTGCCTGCATCGTCAACGGCGCCAGCCTCGCAGGCGCCGCCAGCCGGAGGGCCGCTGGGCTGAGCGTGACCGCAAGCCACATTGTCCGCTCCAAAGATGCAGAGGAGGCTGGGCTGATTGTGCGCCCTCGAATTTCTCACGCATGGCACTGTGTGTGTGTGTGTGTGAACCGCCAATGGCAGTTATCCGTTGTTGTGGACGTCGCCGCGGCTCGCCTCTGCCGCGGCGGCTGCTGCGCGCACGCGGCGGCGCCGCTCTCTCGCGAGACGGCTGGCGACGCGGCTCGCGGCCGACGTACGCTGCGCTCGTCCGACGGTCCGCGGCGTGGCGTGCGCGGCGCTGCGCGCTGCTCTGCGAGCGCTTCTGCGCTGCTGTCACCCTGCACTGTCTCTCTCTGGTGCTGCTGCTGCTGGTGATGTTGCTGCTGCTGGTGCATATGCTGCTGCTGGCGCGGCGCGGCTCTGCGACTCGGCTCGAGACGCGCGTCGCGAGCATCTGACACGGCGGCGTCGGGCAGGTTGCGCCTCTCTCTGGTGCTGCTGCTGCTGGTGCTGCTGGTGCTGCTGGTGCTGATGCTGCTGCTGGTGCGGAGCGGCTCTCCGACTCGACTCGAGGCGCGCGTCGCGGCAATCTGACGCGGCGGGCGGCGTCGCGGGCGGCAGCGGTGGCGGCCTCGCGGTGGAGGCTGGAGGCGTGGTGGATCTTTGAGTTTATTTCATGATGGACTACGAGGACTGGGGGGTCAACCGGGAGGAAGGGGGTTCGACCTGGCGACGGAGGACCGTGGGCCATCGCGGGGACGGGTCCGTCCGGAGGGCGACCCCGGCAGATCCGGATGGTCTTCACGCCGGTGGGTGGCACCGAGGCGTCTTGGACGCTCAGCTCTACCTTAGCTCCTGAGGGGCGCGTGGTTCTAACCACGTAGTATGACTATAGCCCACCACAGACACCCTCCCTGCTCCACACGTGTGCACACACCCTCACCCTCTGCACCGGGGGCGCCTGGAATTATGGCAACGGCTGCTGGGAGCGAGCAAAGGTGAGCGTTCATCAAACGACAATCCCTTCTCCGAACCTCCCCATTTCGCCGTCGCCGTCGCCGTCGCCGTCGCCCTCGCCGTCGCCGTCGCCCTCGCCCTCGCCCTCGCCCTCGCCGAGCGGTCCCGCCGTTTGCGGCACGTGGTCGGAGATCTGCAACGGCTGCGCCGGCGGATCGAGCGCGTGCTTTCAGTGCACAGACGATCCGGCAAAGTGGCAGTGCCCGGGTGGCGGGCCGGAACCAAGCCCCTCACCCTCACCCTCACCCTCGCCTTCGCCCTCTCCCTCGCCGTCGCCGTCGCCCTCTCCCAGTTCCTCGCCCTCGCCCAGCCCCTTGCCGCCGCCCTCGCCCAGCCCCTCGCCGTCGCCCTCTCCCAGCCCCTCGCCCTCGCCGTCGCCCTCCCCTAGCCCGTCTCCCAGCCCATCTCCGTCCACGTCCCCATCGCCCTCTGCATCGCCATCTGGCCCGTACGACCCCAGTACATGCAGCTGGCCTGGCCTTTTGCTTGGTGCCTGGTGCGGCACCTGCGCTGGGCCCGACAAGGGCCAGGATGCGTGCAACCCGGCAGACAACGCTGACGACTGCTGCACCGGAACCTCCTGCCAGTGGGACAAGAACGCAGGCGGCGGAGGGTGGAGCATGGTGTGTGTAGAGGCCTTCGAGCTCGGGCGGGGCGTGACGGCGACGCCTGATATCTTCTGCCAGACCGCCAAGGGTGTGTCTGAGGGTCCGTGCGAGCTCGAAGTTGGCCATTGATTCGACCTACGCTAGGGGCTGACTCATCGCGCGACAAAGGCGAGGCCCTTGACGCTTTGAGTGCGTCCCAGCGCGGGCACAGGTCATGCTACATGCTTGTGCGTTGTGGACGATGCTGGATCCATCGGGGCATCGACCACATGGTCATGCTGTGCCCCCCCCCCCCCGACGGGGCATGCTGTGTAGTTGCATAGAGAATCGGGGCATCCGCACGCTGAGGTTCCTTCTCTGTGCAAAGCTCCATACACAGCAACGTGTCGATAGTTTGGATAGACGAGCCGTTTATTTAAATGCGGAATGAATCTATGTCTTATGTGCAATGAGAGTTCCGAAGCTGGGGAGCAATCAATGGCACCACAGTAGTGGAGAACAACTGTTGTTGAATCCTATTTTGATTGAACCAAATCTGTCACAGTCACGTCACTGCAGCCGCGTCTCAAAGGCCGTGTCTGGTTTGATGGCGAACGGGTAAAAGTGCGTCACAAACTTGGACGCCTCATCAAGTCGCTGCACCGCGTTGCTGGCCCTGCTGCAGTCTGGCCGCTCTCCGATGGGCGCTGGAGGGCGGAAGCCCCACACGCTGTCCATGTGGCGGTAGTTGAACCTCACCATCTCCGCCGGCCCCAGCAGCGCTTGCATCACGTGGTCGAACTCGCGGTTCGCCTGCGGCGAGCCGAGATCGACACAGAGCCGCCGCAAGTCCGCCGCCCCGACCTCGAGCACGGGCGCGCCGCGCGCCGCCCCGAGCGCGGCACGGATGTCTGAAAGCCTCGTCCCCGCCGCCACCGTCCGCTCCTCCCTCGGCGGCGGCAGAGGCGGGATCGGGTCTCCCGGGGCGAGAGGCGCCTGGGCGGCCTCGGCCGCCCCCGCGCCGCCGGCGACACGCAGCCGCACGCGCGCGCCGCGGAGGGTGGCGTTGGCCTGCGGGTGGTAGAGGAAGGAGGCCGCGCGGACCGGCACCTCCTGCTCCTCCCAGAGGTGCACGTCGAAGAGGTGGTCCATCGGGCACGCAAAAGGGAGCCGCATCTCCCTCGGCGCCTCGGCCATTCGACACCGCTGCAGCGCGTTCCAGTAGCGGTCGCACCAGCACGTGAGCGGCGGGAGCAGGAGCGTCCTCCCCGTCGCCCTGGCGAGGGCGAGCGCGTCGCGCAGAGCCGCCCGCTGCAGCACGTCGAAGGTGAGGTGCCTGCACGGAGACGCGGTCGCAGTGGTGGGAGATCTCAACAGTCTCATACTCCACAGAGAATCATGCACATTTGCCGGCATGAGTGCAGGTATGGATCACACCCTTGTGCAGCTAACGGATTCAGCTTAAGGCCATAGGCAACTATGCCGCCTCCATGTCCATGTGGCTGTGCACATTCAAATGACGACAAGGCAGCTCGCCTCATCGGGTTGTCCTCGGGCAGCGCCGTCGGGTCGACCACGTTGTTCATCAGCCGGTCGGTGTAGCCCTTCGTGCCCTCGACCCGGACTGCCGCCACGCCCTCGCGCACCTTCACCCCCTCGAGGCTGCCTGGCTCGACGAGCGGGCCGACCAGCCGCAAAAAGCCTCCGCTCCGCGCCTGCACGGAAGGGTGCGAGAAGGGTGCGAGAAGGGTGCGAGAAGGGTCCGAGAGAAGGCTGCTCCTCGAGCGGCGGCTCCGCGCCGCGTCAAAGTACTCATCGCCGTCTCCCCGCCACAGCCCCGCCTCGCGCAAGCGCTGCCTCTTCCCCCACGTGTACGCGGGCGTGTCCGAGAACTGGTAGGTCGTGTGCAGCGCGACCGGCGGGGTGGCGCGTGCCAGCTGCTCGTGCTGCACAAAGTAGATGTGGCCGCCCGAGAACTCGAGGGCCGGCAGCGCGGTCAGTGTGATGTGCGCTGACCCGCCCGAAGGGAGGGGCAGCGCGCTGCGGCTCCGGTAGACGGAGCGGTCGCCCTCGCGCGAGGCGTCGACCTATTCATTGCTTCCTGATCGACCCACGAACCACTGACTCATACGCAGCCGCCCTCGAGGCGTGTACCTCCCCGTCGGCCAGGCCCCGCTCGGCGAGCCACTGCCTCCACACGCCCTGCGACTGGACGCCCTGCAGCCCGAGCGCGCGCACGATCATGTTGAAGTAGGTCTGGTCGTTGAAGCCCCACGAGTCTTTGCGCAGCCGACCCGCCGTGAGCTCGTCGAGCATCTTGCGCTTCCAGGCGGCGAGCAGGGCGCGCGTGCCGTTTGTGTTTCGCAGGAAGAGGACGCCGGTGTTGACCTCCGCGTACCGCCACCGCTCGGAGCGCGCCGTGTCGAGCGCGAGGTTGGCGATGTCCGTCGAGACGAGCACGTCGGCGTGCGCCAGCAGCTGCATGCCCGCAGCCTGCCCCGTCACCCACGGCCTCGGGTCGCGCACCCAAGTCACGTCCAGGTCGGAGGCGAGCACGTCGAAGCCGGCGCGGACAAACTCCTCGAAAAAGTCGACCTTCAGAACGCCCATCTGCGTGAAGGCCTTCGGGTCCATGCGGTAGTACCGCCTGCGGGAAGGCGGTCGGTGCCCACTGAGCGCCCGCGTGGCGAGCCATGGCCATTGGAATTGCATGCTGGATGATGGGTCGAAGAAGAAGTTGAAGGCTGATAATTTGGTTCCGATTGTTGAGGCGGCACACCAGCTCGTCTCGATGCCCGCCACGTCCTCCCGCGTCGGCGTGGGCGGCGTCTTGAGCAGCGCCGCGCCGACGCCCGCCTCGTCGCACCGCCGGAAGAGAGCCTCGTCCATCGCGCCTTGGCTCAGGCTCCGAGAATGCTAAAGGGGGCGGGGGGCGCGCCGCCTAGAGGACGGGCGCGTCGCGCGCCCAGCACGTGCGAGTCGAGGCCGAGACGCCGCACGTGCGCGACCTACGGTGCATCGAGACGCGTCTTCCGCATTGGATCATGGCCCCAAGACACCGCCGGTGCGATCCGTGCTCCGCGGCTTGCCACGGGTGCGCAAGAGCGGCGCTTGGCTTAGAGTTGGTGGGGAGACCGCGGGAGAGGGTGAGGGAAGCTTGGGGTGTGGGCGGCGGGAGAGGGTGAGGGGAGGTGGGGTGTGGGCGGAGGAGACCCAGCGGACTAGGAGACCCAGCGGACGTGCAGGCTAGGAAGGCTCTGGGAGGTGTCGGAAAGTGTCTAGGCTGCGGCTGCTCGCCCAGTGAAACAGAAAGTCGCCCATCGACGAGCCGCCAAACACCATGAACAGGATGCGCTGCCGACCCTGGTGAGGCAGCAGCCGCGCCGCCGCATGCCGGTTGAGCAGGAGCTTGTCCTACGCTACGGGACACCAGCCTCACCGACGTGCTCACGCGCCGGGTGGCGGAGCAAGAGCCCATACCGTCAGCCACTGCGCGCCGGGAAGGGAAGACGCAGGCGCACGGGACGCACCCCGGCCTCGCTCCTCCGTCTCGCGCTGCCGGCGCACCGGCTTGCCGCTTAGCGACGGGACTCGCAGCCACGGGTCGCGCACCAGGTCTGGACGCATGGTCCACTCATCGGCGGGGTCGGCGGCGGCGGCGGCGGGCGTGGCGGCGGGCGTGGCGGCAGCGGGTGTGGAGAAAGGAGTGGCGGCAGCGGGCGTGGAGGCGGGCGTGGCGGCAGCGGGTGTGGAGGCGGGCGTGGCGGCAGCGGGCGTGGAGGCGGGAGTGGCGGCAGCGGGTGTGGAGGCGGGAGTGGCGGCAGCGGGCGTGGAGGCGGGCGTGGAGGCGGGAGTGGCGGTGTCGGCGGGTGTGGAGCCGGCGGACCTCTCGCCGGGTACAGAATCCCTGTGTGCCGTCCTCGTGCTTCGCCTCGCCATCGCCATCGCCTCTGCCTCGTGGTGCGGGTTTGGCCGGCTCCACGTGGCGCTCACAGAACTGCTGGCCTGGAGGTACGAGCGGAGCGTCGCGAGCACAAGAAGGACGGCACAGGCGAATCGCGTAAGGCGGTGCTGCAGCATTGCCCGCAGTCGCTTCCCAGCTGGGCGGGCGGGCCGGTGGGAGCCATATGCACACACACGTGTACGCGAACAAAAGCGCCTCTGCTCGTCCTGAATTCACACACACTGTGTTCACACGTGTTTCCCCCCCCACCACACACACACACACACACACACGGACGTACGCATACGAACCGCATTATGACACAGATTCGAGACTCGGTCTCGAACTGGGGTCTCGAGGTTCGATCGAGTGGACGCCATCGGTTATAACCGACCAAGTTTGGTCATAGTTGACCACTCGGGCACCAAACTTGGAAATGCGGCGTCGAAGGAGATATGTTGAGATAGAGATCGTGTCTCGTCTAAGTAAGTGTGTGGGGGGAATTGACCACTCGGGCAAAATCGGCCGAGCCACAAGCGGAGTGGCGGCTGGCCGATTTAAGTGCACCACACACACACACACACACACACGGACGTACGCATACGAACCGCATTATGACACAGATTCGAGACTCGGTCTCGAACTGGGGTCTCGAGGTTCGATCGAGTGGACGCCATCGGTTATAACCGACCAAGTTTGGTCATAGTTGACCACTCGGGCACCAAACTTGGAAATGCGGCGTCGAAGGAGATATGTTGAGATAGAGATCGTGTCTCGTCTAAGTAAGTGTGTGGGGGGAATTGACCACTCGGGCAAAATCGGCCGAGCCACAAGCGGAGTGGCGGCTGGCCGATTTAAGTGGGGGGGCTTTTTGTATTTCTTTCTTTAATGGTGTGAGAAGTAAAAACCCGTTCAGAGCATCCGAGTGAAGAGACGCTACATGAGTGGGGGCCTCGAGCTTCCCGGCGGCCCGGGGTCAAGGGCCGCGCGGGAGGAGGAGGCACGCTTACCCATCACCAGGGCCACCCCGGGGGTTCACCAGGGGGTAGAGGCGGAAGCGGCGAGTGAAGCCCCTTCCCGCCGAGGGCCCGCACCCAAGGGCGCAGAGGCGGAGGCGGCATGGGAAGCTGCCGCGAGCCGCCTTGCCCCCTCGGGCGTCAGCGGCGCGCTTGCGCCCCCGCAGGTGTCTTTCGCGGGGGACCGAGCCAAGCGCCAGAAAGTGGAGACTTCCGGGAACCTTCTCTTATCAGAGACCTCGGGAGGGCAGCATGGCTTCACAGTGTACGCTGACGGCCCGCACCGGCAGGGAGGCGGCGCTGACCGCCTCCCCCGCCTGGAGATCGTGCAGCGCCTGGGTTCCGGCTCAACAAAGGTAGGGGCAGCAGATCGATGCATGCATATTCCCGTAGGCAAAAGTACAGAATCCAACACGCACAGCCTCCCATGCCGGAAGAGGAGGAGTTCCGCGCCGCGTGCGAGCTCTACATGACGTCCGCCTTTGGCGGGAGGCTGGAGGAGGCTACGCAGCGGCGGCTCTACGGGCTCCATGCCCGCGCAACCCGAGGGCTGGCGCCGTCCGCGCCGCCAGAGGGCATGGCTGCCGAGCAGTGGGAAGCGTGGCGCGACGCGGGCTCTGCGCTGTCCGCCGAGGACGCGATGGAGGAGTACATCTCGGCGGTCGAGCTCGCGTCGCTCGAGGCCGGAGAGGAGGCGTCGGAGGAGGGCGCCGCGGCCGAGGGAGGGGGCGGGCTGGAAAGCCTCCCTCAGGGGCTGCGCGAGCAGCTCGAGGCGGCCGGGCTCGTGCCGAGCGGCGTCGATGGCGGCCGGGGCGGCTGCGGCGACGGCGGCGGCGTGGCAGGCAGCATTTTGGAGGCGGCGCGGGCCGGCGGCGACGCCGTGCAGAGGTTCCTCGGCGCGATGGAGGGCGGGGAGAGGCGGCGGGACGCGTTGTCTTCGCGGGATGAGGACGGGCTGAGCGCGCTGCACCACGCCGTCGACAGCGGCCACGCGGCGGCGGTGGAGGCGCTGCGCGCCGCAGAGGCGCCACATGAGCCCTGTCCGCGAAGCTTCCATGACGCTTCCCCGAACCTTCCTGTAGGCGCTGCTCGCCGCAAAGGCGGACGTCGACGCTGTGGACGGCAGCGGCATGTCGCCGCTGCACTACGCGGCGATGCTGGGCGCGAGCGATGCGGCGGGCCTGCTGCTGGGAGCGGGCGCCGACGCGGCCTTGCGTGACGAGGACGGCGCCTCGCCGCTCGACATGGCCGAGGGTGAGGCTGTGACGGAGCTGCTGACGGGGCCCCGGCTGGGCCGCGCAGACGGGCCAGAGCCGAGGGCGTCGGCTGGGGACGTCCCGGCGTCGGAGGAGGGCGAGGCGACGGCGACGGCCATCCAGCGCGGCGAGGTGCGGGGCGAGGCGGGGGCGCAAGCGGCGCTCTCGAGCCTCATGCGCGGACTGCAGGATGGTGTTAAATCGTGACAGTGTCTTTAAATCGTGACACTGCTGACACTGGCCACCCGGCTCGCTGCAGCTCGCGGAGCGCGACCCGATGTCCGAGTACGAGGGGCACGGCCCCGACATTCCGTTTTGAGACGAGTTCCTGTGTATGTATGTATGTATGTAGGAAGGTGAAGAACAGTCAGGCTCGGACTGGACACCGACGCGGTATGCCGTATGGGTGGACGCGGGACAGATGATGACGACACGCACGAGCGACACACAGACACAAACAAGCGCTCACAAGACACACACAGCCAGCGGGCTGGCACACATCCTGAGTGGGCGTACACATCACTCAGGCCACTGTGTGGGATTTCGCGCAATGTACCTTTATAGAGTAATGGTAATCTCTAGTCTTTTTTAGAGATTGAGAGCTTAAAGATTTGAAAGACTCCACTCGGGTCTACAGTGCTACCCAGAGATTTGAGACCAGAGATTTGAGACTTGAGACCTCAGTCACTCGGCCTCCGGTGGGAGACTTTGAGATTAGAGACCAGAGACTTGGAGAATGAGATTTCCCACACCAGAAGGAATCTGCGGTCGAGTTCGCTCGAGATCCAAGATTTGAGACTGAAGATTTGGACGGCCTTCCAACCTAGAGATTTGAGAGCTGAGATTTGGAGATTTGCGGTGTGAATACTGACAAGAGCCTCGAAGCTTCTAGAAGGGTTGGGTGGGTTTGACCTGGAGGGAGATTGAGGTCTGAGATCTGAGATTTGAGATTGAGATTTGAGATTGAGATTTGGGGCCCGGGGAGCCTGCGGCGCCATTTTAATCTGCGCTCCTCTTTATGGCCTGCGGCGCCTGGCTTGAGCTTGGAAGTGTAAACGAGTCCGCCAGGGCGGTCTGCAAACACGGAGCGCGCTGCGCGCGCGGTCTACGCCGAATTAGATGAGAGGGACAGCGCTATCCGCAAAGGCTCGACCAGCTGCGGCGGCTCGTCGGCAAAGGTCGTCCACTCCTTGGCGTACGGCTGAAAGCCGGTGTGCGAGTGGAGCATCTGCGTGTCGAGGCGCCACAGCATCTCGCCCTCAAAGATGATGTCTCGCGACAGCTGGACGTACTTGCGAGTCCGATCCATCGCGCCGTCATACGGCACCTGCTTGCCCTGAGCCAGCCGAGTTGACTCCTCAGCTGAGGCATATGAGAGGTTGTGCTTGGCGCGACAATTTGGGCAGCGCTTGCAGTAGAGGAGCCCGTCAAAGCGCCCGTGCGTGCAGTATACGGTTGGATGGACGGGCTCGTCGCTGACCACAAGGCACACCTTCTGCCCTTGCAAAGCGCATACGGCGCAGAAGATCCACGAGAGCGCTGATGCCCGCCTCGCTCTCGATGCTGCTGACGAGGATGTTGATGGTCGTGGACGCGTGCGTTGTTTGCATGTCGGCGCAGCGATGAGCTCTGCGCGGTCGGGTGTGTCGACTGGGTAACGGGCCATGCCGAGGAGAAGCGCGACGATCTCATCCTCACTCTCGAGCGGCCACAGCTTCGTGGAGAACCGCCTCAGGCGGCGGCGGCGAGTGTCGGCGGCGCAAAGCATTGCAAGCCGAGCGTGCTGGGGCTTCCCGGGGTCCTCAGTCTCAATCTCAAATCTCGAGTCACGCTGCCCTTTTTTCGGTGGTGCCGCAAGCGATGTTTTTCGAACGAAGCGAGATAAAGGCGTTGGAAGGTTGAGGAAGTTCACAGCATTCTGCATCGAAAACGGAATCTCTCTTGCTTGCAGTCTCAGTCTCTCCCACCCCTCATCGAAATCTCAAACTCCCAAAGCGAAAAGGAATCTTCGCCATTTGAGATCTCACGCGTTTCCTCTAGAAACTCACACCGAGCGACGGGAAGACTGAGATTTCGTGGCTGAAGTCTCGACGAAGATTTGGGAGATCTCAAGGGCGGGACTAGAGACTGAGATCTGCCCTGAAATCTTCAGGTCTCACTCCTCTCAATCTCTAAGAAAGACTAGAGATTACCATGACTGCCTTTATATTACCCAAAAGCTAGGCTACACAACGCCCTCTATGTTGGGTCAAGGCGGGCGCCTAGAAGAAGGCGCCGCCCCCCGAGGGGGATCCCACCCGTACCCCGAGCCCCCGTCGAAGAGCGCGTCGAAAGCGTCGTCGCCTTCGTCGTACTCCTCCTCAAAGCACCGGACCGGCTCCCCCCGGCCGTGCTCCCTTGCCCAGCGCATCTGCCGAACATGCGCACGCTGCTCCTCGCGCGCCCTCTCCTCCGCGGCGCGCGGCGTCCACCCGGTGGACGCCAACAGCGACTCGAGCGTCGCGCGATAAATCGCCTCGCCTTCCTCGCGTGATACCGCCTCGCCCGCCTCCTTCGCCACCGCCTTCTTCCCACGCCGCGATAGCTCCTCGCCGCCCTTGCTCGCCAGCGCCGGCGATGCCGCGGCGCGCCCGCCGCGCCCGCGCGCCCGCGCCTGAAAGGTAGCCCTGCCGCGCCCGGCGTCCCCCCCTCCCCCCGCGCCCGAAAGATGACCCGCGCCTCCTCCTCCGTCACGGGCGTCTCGCGACCCCCTCGCGCCTGGAGGATAGCCCGGGCCTCCTCGTCCGTCACGGGCATCTGCGTCTTGTGCTGCAGGGCAATCCTCAGCGCCCGGACGCGCTTGTCCTCCTCGGCCGCGGCCGCCGCGCTCGCCTCCGCCGCCCCAGAGCCCCCTCCTGCCACCGCCTCCTCCGCGTCCGCGCCGCTGTAAGTAGATGAATCCGAACCTCTCCTCCGGGGCACCGACATGGCCGAGGGTGAGGCTGTGACGGAGCTGCTGACGGGGCCCCGGCTGGGCCGCGCAGACGGGCCAGAGCCGAGGGCGTCGGCTGGGGACGTCCCGGCGTCGGAGGAGGGCGAGGCGACGGCGACGGCCATCCAGCGCGGCGAGGTGCGGGGCGAGGCGGGGGCGCAAGCGGCGCTCTCGAGCCTCATGCGCGGACTGCAGGATGGTGTTAAATCGTGACACAGCGCCCCAAAATCCACTGTGTGGGATTTCGCGCAATGTACCTGGCGGGCGCCGCGGACCAGTTCCGCGAGCGCTCGTCAGCGGGTGGTGTGCGGTTCTTGCCGTAGTTCCTCTTCGGTCGCCTAGCCCCGGCGCCGTCTGGCGGACGCCTGCGTGTCACGAGTGCGAGCCGCTCGCGGTTCGTACGCCCGCTTGCGGGTTCGAGTGGCGGGCTATCCCGCTTGCGGGATGGCTTAGCGGGTTCGAGCCGTCACACATTGGCTGCCGGGGTGTGCCGAGGGGGGGCTGGGTGGGCGGTAAGCCGTCATTGCCCGGCGCTGCTTGCAGCGCTCTGGGTGGTAGTGGCGGCGCTCCAAGAGTGGTGCTCTTGGGAAGAGGTTCCTCCTTTCCGCTCCCCCCCCCGCAAGGCGCGAGACACACACTTTCCCTGAGCGCTGTGGTCGCCGCAGACTGGCTCCGACTTGACGGGCGCATGGAGACGTGATGCCTCCATGCGCCCGTCAAGTCGAAATCGATATGCAGCTCGATGGTTTGCCCGAAAAGGTACATGGCGGCGTTTGGCGACAACAGCGCTGCGACCGCGAAGTGGCGGTGGACATGCTCCCACGTTGCCGACGTGGCGCCGGAGTGGCCGGCGCTGCTCACCGCGACCACGACGGCTACTCCGATGCTCCGGGCCGACCCGTCCTACCCGACGGTGGCACTTTTCCACGTCTCGCTCACGCTGAGAAAAATTCTGAAACGGCGTGCAGCAGAGTCGCCGACGAGTCGGTCCGCGTGCCTCCTCGTGTCGCGCATCGTTCTCACCCATCCATAAACTCACTTTGGCCTCACTAAAGCGAGTCTGAATCCTTAATCCTCAGATTGCGTCACTGCGGGGCGTCTCGGCGGAGTGCGGTCAGCCGGTGATGTGGCCTGGGCGGCATGCTTGGATGCGTGGCTCACTCTCAGAGAACGCTCACCCCTAGACGCGTCTCCACCCTGTGGATATATTACTGGAATCGGAGGGGGGGGCACGCCCGCCTCGGGCGCGCCCGTACTAGACGCCGCGCCGGCCCACCGGGGAGCCCACGCGCCAGTCGTCGGCATCACTCGGCAAACTGGCTCCGCCTCGCATCCGCTCCCTGCGTCACGCGCGGGGTCGTGAGCATCGTGCCCGGCGAGACACGCGACAGACGGCTCATGGATGACTGCATGCTCTTGAACGAGGAGTCAGCCTTCTTTGCCTGGAGCTCCATTGCAAAGGCTGCAGACGCATCCCAGTCCGACATGGCCACTATGCTCATCACGACAGCGGCCTCCACGATTGCGATGCCAGCTTTGCCCCAATAGACGGTTTCAACGCCGGTGTGCATGATCATGACGAGGACAAATACGCTCCCGATCGAGCACGGGAGCTCAAAGGCGAACGCCAAGATCGTGTTGAGGATGGTGCGCCCTTGCGCAGCAAAGACGCCGCCAGTGCCAACGCCAACCAGCAGCTGGCCCATCGAGGCGAGGAAACCGGGCACAATCATGCGCGAGGCCACCTCGACGACGTACGGATCGGACGAGATGGTCGACATCGCCGCGTGGCGCACGGGTGCGACAGCAAGCATGGAGCCACCAACGATTATGACGCCCGCGGCGACTGCCATGGCGGCAGCTCGCGCCGCCGCCGGGCCATCGCCTCGTCCGAGGTGGAAGCCCACACGAACCGCCGCCACGCCGATGAGCATGTTGCTGGCGCCGCCGGCGACGATGTTAATCAGCGCCTGCGTCGCGGAGCTGCAAGCGACGGCGAGGGTGCCCAACTGCGAGATCATCAGCGTACTCGATTGGTCGACGAGCATCTGGAAGATGATGGTTCCGACCAGGGGCAGCGCCTGCGCGAGGAAGACCTTCACGTACTTCTGGTCGATGGACTCCATCGACCAACCGGGCCAGGTCTCGAGGTGGGCCTTGCGGTAGACAAACATATACAAGAAGAAGGCGAGAGGCTGTAGGCAGCGGGACATCGAGATGGACATGGCCGCTCCCACGAACCCAAAGCCCCCAAAGCCGGTGACTGCACGCAATGATGCCGGCCCGCCAAAGACAAAGAACCAATTCAGCAGGATATTTACAAAGAAGAAGAAGAGGTTGTTGTACATCGCTGGTTTGGTGATGCCCATCGCCTGGAAGTAAAATCTCATGCACTGGTACCACCCGTTTGGGATCGGCCAAAACACGTTGAACTTCGCATAGTGCCCGGCGAGCAAGCAAACAGCGTCGGAGAAGCCCAGCAGCTTCAGCACCGGACCCACGTAGAAGAAGCAGATCAAGCTGGGCAGCATTCCGACCGCGAGCGCGATGATGGAGAGCTGCAGCCAGCGTCCGGCCATCATGGGGTTGTCAGCGCCGATCGCCTGACTGACCAGCGCATTCAGCACCTGGTTGAAGGCGAGCGGCGGGGCAGCCGCGATGTTGACAACCATGTCAGAGAGGGAGGCGGCGGCAAGGTACTCGTGAGGAGCAAACGCGCCGTCGGTGATGTGGCCAACAAACGCCGAGTCGGTCGAGCCCATGCCGAGCCGGCAGGCAAACGAGACGAGCATAGGCCACCCCATGCTGGCCATCGCCACCACCTCTGCGCGGCGGCTGAAGTACGGGCGGCCGCCCAGGAGCGGCTCCCCCGACGATTTTGTGCTCAGCATCGCGCGGCCTGCGCGGCCTGCGCGCCCCCAGGCGCGCGAATGGCGATGCGCCTCCCCAGCGCGCGTACACACGCTGCGATCAGAGGTTGGGACGCACGCAAATCCACGGGGCATTTCACAGCCTTGTTATTGAGAACAAAACTCCCTGGCACGACACTGGTTATTGAGAAGACACAGACCTTGTTATGGACAAGAAAATACCTTCACACCGAGAGACAGAGCTTCCGAGCTCGCACGCCGCGCGTAGGGCCCTTAGGGGCCTAGAGAAGTGAGTGAGTGAGTATTCTTGATACGAAACCACGACGACACACACCAGTCGACTCGTATCGGTTGCCTCCATGAACGGCGGAGCTATTCTCGGGCCCACACCACACCTGGCTCCAACGTGGACACGCCCATAGCTGGGGACACTACTAGGTCATGCATGGCATCAGAAGTTTTATCTCTGGGCCCCGAAAGGCATCTCTAGCAGCGTCGTTACGCATGCGCCCTCCCCTCCTGGGCGCATGCGCCTCACATCTCGCCAGAGCATAAGCTCTTGGTGTGCGGCGAGACGAGTTTTTCGCCATCGCCGCGAGCAGCAAGCCGCCCGCCGCAAACAGCCGGAGGCATCGCCACGGCACTGACTGCGCCGCGATCCCGCACCCGTCGACGAAGCTCCCCCCGCGGAAGACCGCGCGTAGCGACGCCTTGACGATCGAGATGAGCGCGCTCGAGGCTCGCCCACCTACTGCCCCTGAGAGTTGGTTACGAGTGCCGGAGTGGGATCAGCTCCCCCCCTTGGGTTCGAAGCCGCCACAACCTCACACCCAACACCACAGGTGGGATCAGAGAGAGACTCCGCACCGGACACCGCCCGGGCACAGACTCCCTACCCATCGGATCGCACAGGGCCCCCTCGGAGCAGCCCACACACAATCACGCATCGGCAGAATTAGTGCCTGACGAGTCAGGCACACACACACACACACACACACACACACACACACACACACGCCTAGTGAACACAACCCTCTCCCTTTGGACCCCGACCCCGCACCGCCCATACCGCGTTGGTGTCCAGTCCGAGCCTGACTGTTCTTCACCTTACTACATACATACATACCGCCCCTCGGGGTGGGGGTGCACCCGCCCCTGTCGGGCGCCGCTTGCGGCGCCTGGCAGGGGCCGCACCCCCTGGGTGGGGGCGGGCGGTTCCCACATGCCGGCTCTCCGCCACAACCCCCGCCGGGAGGGAATCCCAGCTCACGGGAACTGATGGACCTCTCCAGCGGAGGGAAAGACACGGCCCGATTGTGTGCTCTCTCTTCTTCTGACCGTATCTGATCTCTCGGAAGCATCTCAGCTACTCGGTTTTATTTGTCCTTGCTCGCAATGCGGTCCGCGAGGTCGGTGGCGGTCGCGTCGTCGCTGCTGCCGCTCAGCCGATCCTGAGCAAGCGGGATTCGCGGCTAAGCCCGCTCGTACAGGAGGGGCGACGCGTAGCCCTTTCCGATGGCTTTTGGCATTGGGGCATCTTAACGTTCCGGCGTCACGCATCTCAGTGCCATTCGCATCACGTCTATCGTCACCAAAGTCTGCTTGACGTCGTGGCTCACGCTGAGCCGGTTGAGCGACTTGCGACACGCCTGAAAGGTGGAGGGACCAAGGAGTGGCAGTAGAGAGGGCGCTCGGTGGCTAACTAATAGACGAAGTAACCCACTGCTCCCCGGGCCACTTTAGAACTCCCGCTGGCACAAGGGTCCCGCGCTGGCCCAAATGCGCACCTGCGCAAGCTTGACGTCGGGATGCGGCAGGTCACTGTCCGCCTGCGATGAGCGCGGCGGCAGTGGTGGGCCGATGTCGGAGACGCCGGTTTGTGGTGGCTTGGGTGGTGGGCATCGTCACAGCATCCAACGGCAAGGGCAGCAGTGAGGACAGAGGGTCTCGCTCCAGCCTCAGCGCTCGACCCCATAGCCCCCCTTCGTTGCAACCGCCCAACAATCCTCGCGTGTGTGAATTGCTCCCTTCGTATGTCAGCCAGCCTCACGTGTGGCCGAGAGTGCAGCTGATGACGGCGAGGGCCGTGGAGGCGGAGCGCGCCAGCATGGCAGGGAGGGCGTTGGTGGAGGTGGAGCGCGTTCGGTAGAGGTAGTAGAGCACGCCGCCGGCCGCCGCGACGGCGAGGGCGGCGCGCGCACCCATATACGCTCTGGGGCAGGGCCAGCACGATCCTGCGCCTCGGCGGCGATGAGGGACGCAGGGTACAAATGGACGGGTCAACTTTGTGACAGTGTTTTTTTTAGAGCGCCTTCGTTGTTAAAGGCCCACTTCAAGCCCCCTTTCGGCTTTGAGCAAGTGTGCACACTTGGCCGCCGCTGCCTCCTGAGCCCCGCTGAGCACTCCCACGCCGGTTGTGTCTGCTCTCCACGCCCACCAGCTCGACCAACTCGACCGCCTGTGATGATAGATAGAGGTAGAGGGAGGCCTTTAAAATGGCAAGTTAAGCCCCCAAACCTCCTCGTTTCTTAAAAGGTATTAAAAAATCTGGGCCTAAGGCGTGTGGTCATTGCTCTTTTATCGGATCGAAGAGAGAGTTCGAATTGCGAATTAGCGGCGGCTTCTGGCGCACACGCCCGTCGAGCGCCCGGTCGCCTTCATACAACACTCTTTCACAGCCGACCCAGGCGACACGCACGACCCAGTTGCGGACTGGCGCGTGCCAACAAATCTCACCGCCGGGAGGATCTCACCTGAGTGGTCCCTCGGACTCCTTGCGGACTTTGCGGACTGCACTGCTTCGCTCCGCTAGTCCTGGCCGGCCTGCCCAGAGTCCTTGAAGCCGGGGGGGTACACTGCCGCGTCCTCACGCCGCACCTCTGTCAGCTCGAGGCTACCGACCCGCCGCTCCAGCCTTGCGAACTTGCGGTCCAGCTGGTAGCGCATGCCACCCGCCGTCCAGTCGACAGAGACGAACCCGGGCTCGTCGCGGCCGAGGGAAGCGGGGAACACCAGCGTGATGCCCCCGTCGCAATAGAGCGAGCAGTAGCGCGTGCGGTCGCCCGGCGGAGGGTCGTAGAGGCCGCTACCCGGCGGCAAGTCCTCCTCCGCGCCGCCGCCGCCGCCGCCGCCGCCGCCGCCGCCGCTCTCCGCCTCACGCGCCACCAGCACCCGCTCCAACGAGAGGTCGCCCTCGGCTGCGGCGGCGTAGACGAACTTTACGCGCACGCGCCGCCCCTCCTCGCGCACGCCCAGCTCGAACAGCAGCGCGCCGTCCGCACCCGCGTCCTCCCCCTGCTCGCCCGACCCCGCCGTGAAGGAGTAGCCGTTGCCGACGCACGCGCAGCCTCGCTGCCGGTCGAAGCTCGCCGGCGTGAGTGTCCGGCTGGTGTCGTACGCCTTGTCTGGTGGCGCATCCCTCCACGCAACCTCGCCGTCGCGCTCGACAGCGACCGCGCCGGCCGACGGCAGCGACGGACCCGCCACCCACTTGGGCACCTCGCCAGGCGGGCCCGAGGGCTCGTAGGCGACGCAGCTGCCCTTCCACTCGCCGAGCTGCGCTTGCGCGAAGGTCGCGAGCTGCCAGCGCGCATTGTTGGCCCACTTTTGCGCGCGGTAGGCCTCGAGGATCTCCTCGTCCCCCATGCCCTCGAGCTCGAGCTCCGCCTCCTCGCTCTGGAACGCGCCGCGCGCCGCCTCCTGCGCGTCGACCGCGCATATGTCGGGCGACGACGCGTCAAACCACTCGTCCCACGCGTCGTCGCAGCCCATGTAGTGGACGAGGAGCTGGTCGCCGCGCGTCTGCCGCACCGTCGCGCGCCACCACGCCTGCGACGCCTGGTCCTTGCACAGCACCGCGTCGCCCTCGCCCACAGGCACGGGCTCAGCGCCGGGCGTGGGCGAGGACACAAGCACCGGCTCGGGCGGCGGATCCGAGAGCGAGACGGCGCCGGCGCGGAGGGCGGTCCGCGGCGCGAGCGCGGGCAGCGGGGCGCGGAGCCGCAGCGCCGCGACGCCCTGGACAACGACCAGGGCGGCTGTCGCGAGTATCACCATCGGCGAATAAAACTCCGCCTTAAAGATGCGCTGCAGGCATATTCAAGATGCGTTGCGTTTTCCCTATTGAAAGTCGCGACAAATGTCCCTCGTCCAGCCTGCAGCATGGCGAGGCGCGAGAGCGCAACGCGGTCGCGGTGGCGCACCGAGAGGGGCCGCCTGGCCACCGCTGCCACGGCGCCGCACGGACTTCACCCACTTTCGCGACTGTGGCCATCCAACAGTCTGCCGGCGCGGCGGGCGCATTCGAATGCGCCGGCCGCGCCGGCAGACTGCCAGTGCTTGCTATCCCGGGGGGGGGGGCGGCAAACGCGGGCTGGCGTGCTAGGGACGAGCATGCTGCGGCGGATCGTCCATGAACTGCGTCGTGAGGACCTCTCACGGGCGTGAGGACCTCGGACGCTCGCAAAAGTGTGAGGACCTCTGCGCTCCAGGCGATCGTGAGCACCTCTTGGCGTCGCGATCTTGGCGGGCGTGAGGGTGTCAGCTGGCGTGTGGCGAGGTCTCGAAGTGTAGGTTTGCACTTGTAGAAAGCCTTAAGCCGTTGTATCAGCCGTATGCACTAGTCCCAGGTCCTCTCACGGGCACGCCAGAGCGCAGAGGTCCTCACGCCGCAGAGGTCCTCACACACGTCCCGGACTTGTGAGTTCACCTGTGTTGTCAAGAACGCAGGGCGGTGGCCTTGGCGTCCCTTGCTAGGATGCCACGCCGGGGGTGTCCAGGGGGAGTGTCCGAGGTTTGGCGCACCTCTGTGTGGCACACCATGGCCATGGGCCGTCAATCTTGATCAAAGCGATTATTGAGATTCCTTCTATGGCAAAATGGATGAATAAACTCGATCCCAGTAGTGCGGTAGACAGCGATGGCCCCCCGGGAGTCTCACTTGAACTACGGTAGAGGGTTTCAGACCTCCTTGCTTGCATCAGCTGGGTGGAGGAAAATTCTTTTCCTTTTTCTTTTGCCGTCTCAGAAGGACAGCGATGGCCCCCCGGGCGGTCAGCGCCTGTGATAATTCTTTTCTTCCCCGTGCCCAGTGTTGTGCGAGGGAGTTTTGTTGTAAGATTCCCGTGCCCAGTGTTGTGCGAGGGAGTTTTGTTGTAAGATTCTTTTCTTCGTGCAACCTCGATGATTGATTTACCCGGCGTTGCTCGGCTAACCTTCGGTGGCACACACATTCGAGAAGGCAAATTTTTTGATGGCGGAGGACCTGCCGCGGGCCGGCGCGAATGCGTACCTGTGGGAGGACGCCGCGGGCGCCAGCCTCGCCCACGCCGCCTCCGCGTCACCCGCCAGCAGCGCACCCACGCCGGCCACAGCGGGCTGCTCGCCTTGCAGCTCCTCGCACGCCTCTTGGATGGGCAGCCAGGGGATGGGCAGCCAGGGCATGGGCAGCCAGGGCAGCGCGTCGGCGGGGTCGTACGGCCCGCGTGCGCCGGCGGCGTACCCGCTCTCGTACGCCTCCGCCGACCTGCCCGCCGTCGGAGACGGAGGCAGCGGCAGGCTCAACGCTCGGCGGTGGCCGGTAGAGAGCCCGCGGCCGGCGGCTTGCGGCGGCGCGCCGCCGCTCGGCGCGTACTCGATGGGGCAGGTGCAGGAGCTGCTGGCGGAGCAGCAGTCAAAGAACATCGAGCTCATCGCGCAGGCGCCCACGCGGCCGCCCCTCTCCAATCACGAACACACGCACAGACGGGCGCCGGCGCCGGTCGAGAGAGGAGTACGCACCGCTCTCTCGCCGCTCGCGGCCGCATGCCCACGCGTCCGCTGCCCGCCCCGTTCCCTTCGCACCCCCACATCCCCGCGCGGGACGCCCTCCCGCCTCCCCGCCCCACCACACCACACCACAACACAGACACACGCCGGCACACAAGCCGTGCCCCGGGGGCCAGCGTCTGTGCGTCCGGTGGCTCAGACTCCCTTTGCATTCCCACTGTGCCTCCCCGTGCCTGCAGCCTGGCGTCTGTGCCCCGTCTGTGCCTCGCCCCGTCCCTCCGAGTCTTCCTCCTCCGCATCCGCCCCACGCACCCCACAACTCAAACCCCTTTCACACTTTTCGCGCTGGCCCGCCTCACCGGCCCCCGCCCTCACCCCCCCCCCCCCCC